GAACCGCTCTACTTTTTAGTCGGATTCGTTTGGACTAATTAACCACGAAACTCTACAAATATGAACTGAATTATGTTAAAGCTTAGGTTATGTTTTGAGTTTAATATGATCATTTTACATCATTTCGAGTTTAGCCTTTGGTACATATTTATTCCAAATACTTAATTAATTACTTTTTGTTACTTCTTCTGATCTTGAATAAATCGACTACAACCAGTATGAAACAACTCAATGAAGAGTTTGGGGAGCTATTTCAAGAATATGCTTGATTGTGAATTTGTTAGGAACTTTCTAAATATTATATATGTAAACGAAACTGTTAAATTTATCCATTAGATGATAAACGTATACCTATTAGACTAATTATTTAATTAAAACCATCATTGACCATTTTTTTGAATGCAAACATAATTAAACAGTTATAAATGGTAATTGACCATAATCAAACGTATATCTATTAGATGCGTTATAAAAAACATAATTAAAATTTTGAATACATAAATAAACAGTTGGACGAATGGGGTACATGTACATTAAGAACAAATTTCAATTAAGTTGTAACCAAATTCCAATTAAATTTGTTTTCTTGATTTTTTTAATCAGTCTCGAAAATACAAAATCTTGGAGACTTTCTTAAATTTAAAAAGCTATGAAACAAGAAATTCATATAGTTGGAAACTAAATAAATAAAAATCTCTTATTATATTAAATAATTTAAATATTGTTCCATAAATAATAACTCTTCAATCTCCAACATCTTCTAAATCTGCAAAACAAGACACAAACGATTCAAGCAATTTTTAAACCCCCAAAATAACTCAAACTATTATTATTTCTTAAACATGAATATACATATGAAAATAAAAAACTCACAAGATAATAAACAGCGCCGTTTTGAAGAGGTTGGAAAGTAACACCAAATTCGTCGGTAAGAATAGGTTGTCCAAACGAGTTGATCAAAACGGCATCTTTACCAAAAGCGTCTTTGACGTTGAATAATCCGGCAATAACTTCAAAAGGCATGTCATTGATGAACACTGTCAATCTCCCCGGAGAAACACAAGCTCCGACATCTCCATCACCGGAAAATACTACATTTTTGGTGTACACACAAACACCACGAGTCATGAAACTTGTTCTTATTATGATCAATGGAACATGTTTTTGGTAATTTACCCAAGAAGAAAAAAAAAAGAAGTAAATCTTTTCGGAAATATACAGTAAACGGTCAAATCCAATGACCAAAACGTCTCATCTACAAAACACGTATGCATGCGTTACTTGGTCAAAAATTATGCGCCTAAAATTAATCAAAATTTATTTTTTGGTACGAATGTTAAGAGAATTTAATTTTTTATTAAGGTAAAAATTTAATTAATCTATGTTTTACTCTCTTATAATACAAAACATAATTAAAAAGGTAATTTATGTTATCATTTTTTTAACTAAT